CCCCCCCCCCCCCCCCACAAAAGCACAACACAGTTGAAGTAGGATTTTCAAGCAGGGTCTCTCACAAAAGACTGCCCATTGAACATTATGATAAACACATGAACACTCCTCAGGAACCCATGTTTTTACAAGCAGAGATACCGAGAAAAAAAATCACCCTACAAGCATTACGGGGTAAAACAGTCCGCCCTGAATCCTAAACCCTGAACCCTAAACCCTAAACCTTAAGCCCACCCTAAACCCTAAAGTGCTGCCTCTTCAGTTGAATCGGGCTCCGCTCAGACAACGCTTTCGTCGCCAGCAGAGCATTAGGGCCTAGGGAACCCTAAACCCTAAACTGTGAGGTATAGGAGTGAAGGTTTCGGGCTTAAGTTCAGGGTTTAGGGGTCTAGAGGTAGAGAGTTTAGTTTAAGGCTTAAGGTTGAGGGCTTAGGGGTCTAGAGGTTTAGAGGTTTAGGGTTTAAGGTTTGGGATGCTCCTGCTGGCGATATGTTTAAGGTCATGGTTGAGAGGTTGTCTGTTCCTTGGCCAAGGCGGGTGCGTTGTACAACCTACTCCTGTATCAGCTCGAACTTGTCACTCTGAGGCTCCTGGCATTAGGAGCGTTTAGGGCTAGTGTATAGGGTTTTCGGGTTGACAAAGTTTAGGTCATTCTTTGGGCTCTGAATACTCTTCTGTGTGTCATGTAAAAAAGCTAAGCTAGCCAAACTCAGCCTCGCATGCAGGTGCTCAGAAATCGCATAGGACGAGCGCAGGATACTTGGAGGGTCAAGGGGGCTTGAAAAGTAGGTTGACAATGGGGATAACTAGGGTTACTGCGTGGATTCCAGGGAGTTCTAATTAACCTACTTTGAAATTGCCCTGACACTCCAAGTAGCAGCCCCGGGCTTCATGGGCTTATAGGCAGCTGAAAGGTTCAGGCTAGCACAGCTCTAGGAACTCGAAGTATGATCCTATCAACCACATGACCTGTAAGCAGAATTACCTCCGCGACGATGTTAGGCGGCTTGCCAGAGATGGAGCAAAGTGCTCTAAACTGCCCAGAGAACGTTTCACATGGAATCAACCAGAACCTGAAGCCTTAAATATTGAGTCCCCAGGTCAATCCATAGCCCTTCGAAGAATCCGTGCCGAGGACCCCGCCGCCCCTTTCCTCGAAGAGTCCCGGGGCCTTAGCAAGCCGCATGGGTGCTTTAGCCCTTGGAGGGCAGCAACAGGGAGTAATAGTGATAGTAATTATAATAGTAATAATAGTAATAATAGTAATAATAATAGTAATAGTAATAATAGTAATGATAATAGTACTAGTAATAACAATAGTAAAAGGTACAGGGGGGTTTGTCTGGACTACGAGTCCCTGTTTGGTGTCCGCTGCTACAGATTGATTGTAGCACTTTTGGGATATTACACTGCCTGCAAGAAGGATTTTCAGGGGGTCGCGACTTTGTGGATGTAGATGCCTGGAAGCTTGACTGCCCCACATTACAGGTGCAGGGGTGAAGCCCCACTACCTCTGCCAAGCTGCGTGGCAGCCTGCTTGAGAAGCCCCAGGCCCACCACTCATACCCCAGCTCCAGAAGAAGAACACTATGACACGCACTCCCGCCAAACAAAAGGCAACATATCTTTCTGGATCTTAACGTGTAAGGCACATTCACGACGATTCTTCACCGCTGAGCACTTCTTGTTAGGTGGGTTATTCCATGCCTGCTGGGGCTAGCTGGGGGCTGTTCAGAGCCTTAGGGGTAGTACCCCAATGATGGAGAATCAAATGGGAAAGAACATGGAAGAGTTACATGGAAACTGGGCATATGCTGTGATTCATGGGGATCATGATGGTTTAAAACAGATGAGGGTCAGTTCCTCACTAGTCTCGACACCAGGTTCCCATTCGACTCTTTGCTTAACAAGATGGGTTCTTCCCTGTCATTCCTTCTTGTAGCTATGTCACCATGAACCTGTATAAACCCAGTCTCCATGTCATTTCTCATCATCCTTTTATTTTTGATTCTCCATCATTGGGGCAATTTTCCTCAACCCCTTTCAAGGAAGCCTGGCCCACAAACATAATCATACCATCCAATGTTGTGCTCACTTTCTCAAGGAGGTTCCCTAAGCCCTAAAACTTAATACCCTAAATCCTAAGCCCTGAAGCCGTACACTGCACCCGGGCCAGTTTTTTCTGCTGCGCGCACGCGCATTTCTGAAGCGCTGGAAGTGCTCGGCTCCTTGAACGAACGAAAGTAAGAATGATTGGTTTACAGTCATTCTATTGTTATTACTATTGTTGCAGTTTTTCTATTACCAGTACTACGCTTGAGTAGCGTAGCAACTGCCTGACAAGCAGTGAGGAAGTTGCGTGGTTGTTGAAAGCCAGAAAGCACTAGAACTACGACCGCTCCGCTCATTGCTGCCTTCGCTTTGCCTTGGCAGGTCCTTTTGCCTTGGCAATGCAGCACCTCAGCTGTAATGTAAGGATCCGAAGGACATGAAGTCCACGGCTTGAGCAAAACCCTTACATAGGGGCAACACAAAAAAGGGGGCACAGTAATAATCCGATCATTAATTAAAGGAGAATCGAATATTGAGGGAATGGAAAGTGACATAGATATCCTGATTTAGGTTCAGGCTACCTATAACCAAAGTGCTTGCCTGATTCAGTTATCCTTGAAGGCACGTCCGAGACAACGAGGCAGCCAGGCTGTTGCGAAACATACCGCCTGTTACATGATGTTCTATAACATTCTTTCAGCCATCTCATTGATGCATATCATCGACCTAGCCATGGAGATGTACCAACGCTATGGAAAGATCCTTCCTTGCATCAGCACACTTTGGAGGCTTGGTTCGTGGAGGCGGTTGCATTTGTTCCCGATTGAAATGCAAACACAAGACTGCTTTGTATCGTTGTTGCGTTAATAAGAAGCACTAAACTCACTAAATTATGAACAATAAGCCAGTTTAAGAGCCCGCATCTTGTAGCTACAGGTCGGAACGCACGCAATGAAGGCTACTTTAGGGGGACTATAGCCCCATTATATACACTGCTATAATATAGTGGTTTCCATGTTCTTTTCCATTGTCCCAATATTCCCCCCTTTTTTTTATCTACATTAGGGGGACTATAGAGCGGGAATGATGCGTGCTGATCGCCCAGCACCGGACTTAGGGTCGCAATCTTCTGTTTCAGGACTAGATCTAGGGTTTAGGGTTTAGGGCTAAGGGTTTAGGATCGTAAACCCGAAGCCCTAAACCAATATGAAATCTAGCCCCTAAACCCTAAACCCTAAAAACCCTAAAAACCCTAAAGACCCTAAAGACCCTAACCCAATTCATAATCCCTGCAGCAACCAGCTCAACCCAAAATCCTATAGCCTCCCTTCTCCAGATGCACCCGAGTTCTAACCAAGCGGAGCCATGAACCTCAACACAAGAAACGCTCGGGAAACACGAGTGCTTCAGGAAGAGGCGGGAATGGATATAGATATATACGTGTATATATACATATAATGTTGAACTAAGGGTTTCGGGTTTAGGGCTTCGGGTTTAGGGGTGAGCTACAGTCAACAGATGTGAGCAAATGTCGATTTCCTACATAGTTCATTAGGCATGGATTCCTTATTAGGCACGAAATGTTACGGACTGTACTAAACCCCAAACCCTAAACCCCAAACCCTGAACCCCAAACCCTAAACCCCAAAACCTAAACCCCAAAACCTAAACCCCAAACCCCAAAGCCTAAACTCCAAACCCTAAACCTTACACCCTCAACAAATCTACCCACAAGCCATGAGGCTCTGCGTCAGTGCTGCCTTGGATAGCTGCCTTGGCATAACATAGGCTTAGGGTTTAGGGTGTAGGGTTTAGGGTTTAGAGTTTAGGGTTTAAACTTCAGGGTTTTGGGATAAGATAGACACCACAAACCCTAAACCCATTGAGATCAATGCGCGCTTGAGGGTTTCGGGTTCGGCTTTAGGGCTCAGAGCATTTCGAGCTTTAGGGTTTAGGGTTTAGGGTTTGGGTTTAGGGTTTAGGGGCAATATGGTAGTTTCCCTGGACCTCAATATAGATCCGCAAATGCTATAATACTTGTTCTAGGGACCCCCAAAAAGGTATCCCTAATTGTCGGAAACCCCCCTACTAACTTATATGAAATCGCCAACAGTCCGACCTAGCTGCCGATGTCTGAAAATGTTGAGCAAGTATGGCAAGGGTCTAGGGTTTAGGGTTTACATCCTGCATAGATACGGCATGTCCCTTTCTAGTACGAGCATTCCATATGTTGGGGACTCCCACAAAATGACCTTATTGCTGGAAGCCCAACAGGTAAAATCAATGCGACAGAGACTTGGACCTCCGGGCTGCGCCAGGAAAATTCAATGGCTGCTGTTCAACATGTTGTTCAAAATACTTTCCCCAAAATGGCCATGGTACCCTTTTTTCGGTTAGGATCTGCTTTAAAGACGCGTTTTCCCAATAACTCCTCCCTTAGAGCGGCCTTTAGAACCAGCCCCAAAGGCCAGCTAAGGTGGTTACATCTCAAACCCACAATCTGTTTCTTGAATGTTTTTACATGAAGTTGCAGAGTTGCACCCCTGGGCTTAAGGGGCTTAGGGTCTAGGGTTTCTTGTTTAGGGTGATCCATTAAGGACCGCTGTAAGAGTCGTCGCCGCCTTCAACACCGTGTGCACATGAACGGAAGGTAGTAGAGCCAGCTTCAGAAAGCAGAGAGTCGGGTTTTGGACTGAATAAAAAGAGTATAGGGTTTAGGGTTGAAGGTTTAGGGTTTAGGGGTTCCCCTACTTCCCCCCCCCTCATATAGGCGACTTGTAGGGAATCAAAAAGACTTTCCGAAGCAGGTCCTTTGCGACTGTTGGCTGGAAACAACTGCCTTCACCCACACTCCAAAACAACGCACTAAACCCTGAGCCCGAAACCCCAAACAGTAACACCTATGCCCTGTACCCAAAGTCTTCAGCCCTTACCCTTAAACCTGGCACCTTCAACGCGCAAAAAAACTGGAGGCCAGGGGATGCGCCGAGGAGATATCTACGTTCTTACTACTTGTTCCTTGGAAAGGGAGGAATGGAAAAGAAGTTGGGAGCTACTATTTCGGGTTTCAAGTTCAGGGGTCTAGGGCTTAGGATTAAAGAATTTCAGGCCTGAAGTTGCATTAAGGGTTTAGGGTTTAGGGTTTAGGTTTACGGGGTTTAGGGCTTTAGGATCCAGGAGTGTGGGGCCTGGGTGTTGGCATGAAAGAAGTGCAGACTACCCTTTGCTGAGCCCCTCTTATTCTTGAACACTATTACTTCGGCTACTTTGGAGGTTCATGGGGCTTAGTAACTATTTATATTTGGGGTTATAACCCTACTTATAATTGGGCTAACCCCTAGAAGCTCATTTAGGGGGGTTTATAAGTAGGGTTATAAGCCCAGTTATAAGTAGTTACTATTTCCCATGAACCTCCAAGTATCCTACGCGTTCCACATTAAGATGTTACGAGTCCCATCACAATCGTGTTTCTGCTGCCACCAATTTGGAAAGGCAGGAAGGAAAACTCCTTCGGGGGATACACGGTTTTGTGTGATAAGACTCAGTGTAAAGCCCATATCCGCAGCTCGTAACCTCATCTCACCAAAAGGCAATAACGAAGCGCGCTCAACAGACCCGACTTCATGGTCATACCCCTAGATAGCTGCTCGTTAAGCCGGAAGCCCTCGTCTTGAACCTCGACGCCCAACACCCACCCAACCCTGGCCAGATTCCCACCCACCACACAACAAAAAACAACGCAAACGCAAGTTATGACAGCCAGAATGCCAGTAATGATAACGATAACAAGAACATTCCTGCTGCCACTAACACTGATAATTTGAGTACTGCCCCACCCTGGAACAATCTGTCTTACTAAGGGGGCTGTATATATATATATAATGAACAATTATCCGACCGTTACAGGGTGGGGGCAGTATGGTAACTTCTGGACTGCTTGAATTGCTTCCAGGTGCGGCATCAGGTCGTCGAACCTTGGTCTTATCTTCGCAGCAGTGGTCCTTGCACCTGAGTCACACCGTTTGCTTGAAGTTCTTGGGATCAGGATTTAGGGTTCGGGGTTTAGGATTTGGGCATTAAAGAGTTTCGAGAGCTTAGGGCTCAAGGACTTTTCGCTTCAGATTCCAACATCGCACACCCTGCTACCTCAAAATCCTGGAAGTGTTTCACATAATTGGGCTACTGAAGGAAATCTCTGAAACCCTGAACCCCAAATATTGCGGGTTGGTGTGTTGAGGATGCAAGAGGCCTCGGGTTCGATTCACGCGATTTAGGGTTTGGAGTTTAGGGGGTGGAAGAGCACTTGCCAAGCCAGATGGGGTTTCCCCAAACGAGGGGGGTTCCTATAATGAGGATTATAGCAGCTTAGAGTCTACATTGAGCTCCCCGTCTTTGAGGGAAACTAACACATTTCATTCAGGGTTTAAGGATTTGGCCTAGAGTTCTTGAGCAAGTAAGCCACAACAAACAACCGAAGTGGGCAAACGAATGAAAGACCCATCCACCCAAACTTGGGCTTCCCTTCCAGACTTCAAATACGAGGGCCATCCACGCGGTTCAGGGTTTAGGGCTCAACAAAACCGATCCGGAGTCTGCCACAGACCCATGCCGGTTACTTCTGACTATTCACTGTTGTTATGGCTGCGGCTACTGTTGGAATCCTCTTGCTAGCAGTCTTGCTACGCTGCTGGCAGTGTGTGCTGTTGCGATTGCTACTAGTATCTCTGCTGCTAGTTACTGCTGCTGCGAGTTGCTATTGCTATTATTATTGCCATTCTTGCTGTTACTGCTATTATTACCTTATTATTGCTCTTGTTGCTGTTGTTGCTATTGCTGCTACTGCTGCTGCCCTGATGACATCCCAAGCCCTTCCTGCCCTCCACTCTGAACACTACACCCAGAACCCTGGACCCCCTGCACCCAAAACCCTGGACCCCGAACCCTAAACTCTGAACCCTAAACCCTCCAGCGGGAACAAGGCGCATGAGAGGCTCGTAGCACTCGGCGTCGGTGCTGCCAAGGGCGTCGTTGTCAGCTTTTCGCCTCACTTGAGTTTTGGTTCCTGGTGTTTCAACCGTGAACCCAAAACCCCAAAGTACTGCCAGAGCTTAGGAACTTGGGGGTTCAGGGTTTAGGGATTTACTGTAGGGTTGAGGGGTTAGGGACTCCGCTTGGAAGTTCAAGGGCTTCGGGCTTAGGGGATGTGGTGCCTTGGGTGTTGTTGCCTAACCATACCAAATTCCCACTGTGCCCTCACGTTTATTGCGCCCTAAACCCTAAACCCTGGATTGTTGCGAAAGGGTGGGAGTATCTATTGCTAGGGGGTGGAGACGGTGGGGGGTTAGATGTTTGGAGGAGGGGATTCATGCGGCTGACCTTTTGTTGTGAGGTTTGTCTACTGAGGGATGGGTGCAGCAGGGCGAGCAAAGAAGACAAACTAGAAGCAGGCGGAGCAGCAGGAATTGAATCAAGTGACATAGGCCCTCAAACCTAAGCCCTAAACCATAAAAGCGATGCAGGCCCAAAAAACTAAACCCTAAATCCTAAACCATTAAAGTGGCGCAGGCCCTAAATCCTAAAACATGAAAGTAACATAGGCCCTAAACCCTAAACCCTAGACCATGAAAGCGACACAGGCCCTAAACCCTACACCCTAAAAGTGACATAGGCCCTAAACCCTAAACCATGCAAGCAACATAGGCCCTAAACCCTAAACCATGAAAGTGACATAGGCCCTAAACCCTAAACCCTAAACCATGAAAGCGACACAGACCCTAAACTCTACGCCCTAAAAGTGACATAGGCCCTAAACCCTAAACCCTAAACCATGAAAGCAACATAGGCCCTAAACCATGAAAGTGACATAGGCAAGGTCTGAACTTGCAGTTTTCAGGGTCGCGCTTGAGGGAGACAAGGCACGGTTGGCACTGTTTGCAGGCGAGAAGCTTGAACTTTGTGGGGAACTTCGTCTCGTACCTCGGCTTAGGGTTTAGGGTTTAGGGTTCACACTGCCCAACCCTAAACAAGGTGATTTAGAATAACTTCAATTCCCAAGTTAAGGCCAGTTTGGTACTAGTCCCTATGTAAACCCTAAACCCTAGACCCTAAACCACCATTTTGGGTGAGGTCGCTTTAAATTGCCCAGCTCCTCAACCCTAAACCAAGGAGTGCTCTTGAGATCCTTTCCGCAGCTCCCACATCCCAGCTTATACCTCCAGAGCTATACAGTCCTGTTGTTAAAAGGACAATCGGTTTAGGGTTTAGGGTTTAGGGTTTAGGGTTTAGGGTCCAAGACAGGGAACCCCAAGAAAAAGTGGGAATAGAGTAGAAAGCTTGAAAGTTTATGGCAAGAAAGAAGTCAATCAACCCTGGGCATCGAAGACCACTTCTTCTTTCCAAGGCCTTGAGGCACCACCCATTCAGAAGGCACACGTGGCATACCCTTGCTGCATAATTACCTGCAATATTAGCATGTGGGCCAGGAATTGTAGAGTTTTTTCCCCTCCAAATGTAACCTATTCAGTCCTCCAGCATGCTATCTGCAGCCAGAACCCCTCTAGGGAGATAGCTTCCCATGAAGTAAGCCTTGAGCCCGGACTCCCATAAACCTTATGCCTTTCAATCATGAACCTCTCACGCCCGCCCTGAAACCCTGAAACCCCTCAAGCCTTAAATCCCTAGCCCCCCAAAAAACGCTCTAAACTCAAAACCGTCCGGCTGGACTATTGGGGTCCGTACGTGGTACCCAATATATTACGGCACCAAATATATGGGGGTACAAACTGGAACCCCATCTCTTGGAAACTACCTGGAGATTCATTGGTGCCAAAACTCAGGTACAGTTGCAGTCCTAACCTAGTTGTAACCATATGAGAATGCTCAACTAAAGGAGGTCACAAGTACTCAGTCCCTCTATATTCTTATGCAATCCCTTATACAACCGTATACGTATCCCAAGATAATCGACCCTAAACCCTCTACCCCAAACCCCAAACCCTGAAACCCCAAACCCTAGACCCCTAAACTCCCAAACCAAAAGCCTTTAACCCCCAAATTAAACCCCAAGCCCAAAACCACTAATCCCGACTAAACCCTTAGCACTGAACCCTGCAGCCCTAGACTGCCGCAAGGTCAGGGTATTTCAGAACAATTCCAATTCCCAATTTGAGGCCATTTTGAAACTATTCCTCACATAAACCACCATTTGAGTGGTCTTTTTTTGGTGGTTGAACCTAGTAAGATAATATTTCTTATATGAAACACTATACCCCAAAAGGAGGATATAATCTTACTCTATCTTGGGTACCATAGTAGCCCTAAACAAAATACTACTCATTTAGGGTGAGGTCGGGTAAACCCCGAACCCTAAACCCTAAACGCTTAAACCCTAAACCGCTTTAAATTGCCCAGCAAGGTACGCGGAGCAGGGCTTAGGCACGCAGCACTCCTCATCCGTACTGCCCTGGTACTTGAAGTGGTTCGTGTCCTTCAACCTAAGTTTCAGAGTTTAGGGTTTAGGGTTTAGGGTGTAGAGTTTGGGGTTGGGGGTTTAGGGTTTGGGGTTACGGGTTGAGGTTTTGGCCCTGATAGGTGAAGTGGCTTCATGATGCAGAGCCCTCCCTTCTGCATTGAGGCTGTATGGGATTGGAAGGATGCTGCCTCAGGGGTGGTGGAGGGGATTCATGTAGGACGTAATGCAATGAAGAAGTGGATTTCAGTGCGTGTTTGCTTTCGGAATCCTCAAAGAATCCGGACCATCCCCTTTGAATCAATTCCTAGGGACATCAAGGAGAGTTGACCCACCTTGGTTTAGAGTTTAGGGTTTAGGGTTTATAAGTATGTTAATGACCCTCATAACCCATATAGTAACCCCAGCTTTCCCCTTTATTTATTCACCTACGTACTAAATCCCCCAGACCCTCTAAGTAAAACCTAAACCCTAAAGACTTAAGGGTTCAGGAGGGACCCTGTTCATAATCTTCCGCTTACCCCAAATGCTGGAGAGCCCACATATGAGTTTAAGGTATAGGGTTCAGTGTTTAGGGTTTAGGGGAAAGGAGGTCCGACATTACTCTTTATCACTGCTGTTACCACACATCCTGCATGGCCGAGTATACATGATAGCGTCATACTTCCAACGGTGTTGGGTACTTGAGTGGTGCAAGGCTCTCAATACCAACTCTAACACTAGTATAACTCCAGTTTCCATGTCATTCTCTATTCCACTTGTCCATTATTTGAAGTAATTCTCCTAAATCCTAAAGAAAGACTATGTGATCCCTGCATAATCCCTGTACAGCCTATATATCCCTCGTGTAGTACTACTTGAAGGATCAGGGGACGTAATACAAAGGTTACTGGGGACAAATAAACTTACTATGCGGGCTTTAGGGATTATTGACTTACCTACTAAGTCCCTCTGACCCTAAATCCTCAACCCTAAACGCTCTAGTTTCCACCAAAGCAGTCTGGCCACTTGTAGTATTTCGTGCTTTCGCCTGGGCGGAAGCATGGAAAGCTTTATTGGGTGTGGGAGTTTAGGGTTGTTTAGGTTTCAGGGTGGGGACTAAATGGGTAGAGCGAAGGTATGTATAGGTCATAGAAGGATTGAATAGGTTGATATAGGATTGTACCAGGCCTAGGAATAAGTCTTGCCCTCGTTATGCAGAATCAAATGGAAAATGAAACTATACCATAATTATAATATTGGCAAGTATTTCTGGTTCTACATTAGAAGGCCCCAATTTTTTTTCCGCGTAAGTCCCCTTCTGAAAAAACAAGCACTTCCTTGCAGTAAGTGCTACCGGATGCTATCTTTGGTGCGCGGATTCTGGTCTCTTGTGGGCACGCACATAAACGCAGGTACCCTACGCCCTAAGACCTAAACCCTAAACCGTATAAACCCTAGAGCTTGATGCCTTTGCTTTGGGACATGTCGACATAGTCGAAGCATTTTCCTTTTCGGGGCGTAGGTCTCAAGCGGATCTATGGCCTTTTGGCGCTAAATTGGGAGTGGGGTAGTGAATCCCTTCAATCATACCTTATTCATACCTATATCTGTATATTTATGTACACGTATGTACATATATATATATATACACGTATATGTGCTCCCCTAACAATAGGCCCTACGTCACTCCCGCACTGTCGATTGAGCACCAGTGAGGGAGTGACGCCGATAGTAAGTGCATGTTCATCCTACCACGGTTTCGGGTTTAGGGTTGAGGGTTTAAGGTTGAGGGTTTAGGGTTGGAGGGTTTACGTAGGGTTGAGGGTTTAGGGTTTAGGCACAGCTCTGGTTAGATTGCCTTTCACGATAAACACCCACCAACCCCATAGAATGGACATCCCCAACACCATAACTCCCTATCCTTAGAACATGTTTTTTGCACTACTAGCCGAGGTGATTACAGACAGCGCTCATCTCATTTCCTGTTTCCTTTCCCGTTCATTCTCGAGGAATGCCCGAACCCCCTATACCTCTAGAACCCTAAACCCCACACCCCAAACCCCTATAGCTTTATGTCCCTACATGCCCTGAAGGAAACACCAGTGAAAGGCCTTTGCAGTGCCCTTCAGGGCCCTTCAAGCCTGGAAATCTGGTGTAACCCCTATGTAACCCATTTACCCTAAGGGCCTATGAAAACCTTATGTAATCCCTGTACAGCCCAATGACCCGAACCCCAAAACCTAAATCCTAAAACCCCAACTCTAAACCCCCAACCCCAAGCCCCAGATTTCAACGCGCTGAACCTGACCCCCTCAGCACGGACAGCGCCAAGAGCGCGGCCATCGCCATCGGAGTCGCCGCTGCAGGTGTAGGCCTGGCGTAGAGATACCCGATTTAGGGTTTGGGGTTCAGGGTTTAGGCCTTAGGGTTTAAGTTTTAAGGCTTGGCCTTTAGAGTTTAGGGTTGAGGGTTTAGGGTTGAAGGCTTAGGGAATAGGGCTTATGGTTTAGGGTTTAGGGGTTTAGGGTTCAGGGGGGATTAGGGTTTAAGGGTTTAGGATTTAGGGCTTAGTTTTTCCTGTTTGGGGTTTAGGGTTCATGGTTTAACGGGTAGTTTGGGCTAGATAACGAAAACAGGTTTGAGAAAAAGGAATGGTATTAGGGTATTGGTTGTCTAGTAGCAGTAGTAGTAGCAGCAAGAAGAAAAAGAGTAGTGGTAGTGGTGATGGTAGGGGTGGTAGTAGAAGTAGAAGTAGTAGAAGTGGTAGAAGAAGTAGTAGTAGAAGAAAAAGTAGAAGTACACGTAGCAGTAGAAGTCGAAATAGAAATAGAAATAGAAGTAGAATTAGTGGAAGGCCGGAAATGAATGCTAGTAATCACAATAATTTAAGGGGCTGCGCCCAGGG